AGAAAAGCTTTAATGCCCCTTGGGAGAGCGAGCATCAGCCAACATGGCGGAGACCCAGAGATGAATGAACCCATCCCTTATATATGAAACAGTCCCTGCTTCGGACGTGTCACTCTTGGATTGGTCCGCTGCTCCCAGTCCTAGCTGATGCCTCGGGAGTAGGCGGGGACTCAGTGGGAAATTACCGAGCACATGTGCGTTCACCTGGCGGTGAAGCCGGATGTCAGCGCCATCTTGATGATGGAGAATGTGGCTGCGGCCTTCTACATCTCCCCCTAATTTTACTTCTTTGCAGAAAGGCAACTCCCTCAGAAGGTAAAGATAGAGGTCGCACTTCCCAAAATGAAAACATTAAAATGGGCTTACACGGAATCTGCCTCTAGGTTCATGACACCTGGAACCTATCCGGCCTGCCCTCTGCCATTTTTCTGGGAAAGGGAAATATACGGCAGGAAATCCTTATGCAGGGCGACTTATCTCTCAGAGAGGGCCATTCTCTGTGCGATGCTCTTCAGCTCGACAACCTTCAGGGCTAGCTAAGCCAAGCACTCCACCCTGTGCCATGGACCACAGTCCTAGGGGTGCAGGAGCTGGTTGGCTTAAACCTTACTGCTTTAACATAGATAACCACATATCAATAGAGGCTCCCTGTTCCAGGGCAGCCAGCGCTGTGCAAAAACCACTTTGTCCCTAAGACTTTGGGATTTGAGTCAGCAGACCATCCAGAGGAGGAACACTGTTCCATAGCATAGGACCGTTCCAAAACATTTCCACCCCCACCCATTCTTTGAAGTAGGGGATGAAGGACACGACCCAGGACTGGAATCCTTCGGCCAAGCTTATGTCCACTCGCGTGGAGTTGATTGTCACAATGGACCATCTCAAGGAGGACAGCAAATCATCAAAATTCTCCTGCAAGATACAAAGACAATTCTCGGGACAAGTTAGCCACTCTTATAAAGTTCTCATATGGTACACTGGTCACACATAAGGCTGGAGTTTTTCATTCACAGCCCAATTGGGCAAGCTGCCATAAGATATCCACCTGTTCTTGTACTAGGTCAATTATTTGATTAAGAACCATTATTTTACCTCTAATAGATGTATCTATGGTAGCCTGCTGATCCAGGGTTGTAGCCACTGTGGTAGATAACTGATTGAGGGTCTTTGTTTTTTATGATATAGGCCGTGCTGCCCCAGTGGCGCCTAGGAAAAACCCAGGCCCTGTTTGTTGATATTAGATTTAAGATTTATTGGCTCCCATAATCCTTGCCGGTACGGTGGCCTCGGGCTCCAGAGCCCGCCCGCCATCCAAGGGCTGTGTGCAGCCCTGGGCCTGCTCACTGGCTGCGCGGCTCCGTGTGTCCCAGGCCAGGAAGTGGCGGCTCCACCCCCAGGTGCCCCCGCCTTCCCCGCGGGGCCAGCCCAGTCCTCCGCGGCTGTGTTGGTGGGGGAATGTGGCGGGAGCCGACACCCAGACCGAGGCGGCACAGGCCGGCAACAGCTCAAGGTCCGCGCCAGAGCCGTTGCGGCTCAAGGGGCTGATGGGAGAGGCGGCGAACAGGGCCGCTTCCCTACTAGCAAACTCTCAACACCTGTGCCACAGCAAAAGCGGCTGTAAACTCTCACAGATCCAGCCAACTACCCAATCACCCCAAAATCCAAGGGCCCTTCGCATCCACCTCCCTGTGGATCCTGAAACACCAGACAAGCCAAGCGTATACACAGCAATCTTTCAGGAGGACTTGAGTTCTTAAAATGCTAAGCAGTTCTTAAAAACTTAAGTCGCACTATGTAGATGTAATACGGTACTGCCTGTTTACTGCGTCTAAACCTTAATTGCGCTTTTATTATGATAATTACGATCAGTCCAGCCTGAAGTCAGCGTAGTTTAGCATAGCCAAGTGGAACCAGAGCCATTTTAGCCTCAGAGACCCTCACAGTTTTAGGTACATTGCAAGGTACAATTAGGTACAATTCTGGCCTGGCAGCTTGTGGCACCGCTCTCATTCTCGGTACTTCTGTGACACCCTCCAGGCCAGGCACCAACTGAGCCGGCGCAACGTGCCCCGCACCATAGCCACCGAGCAAAGCTCCGCTCCAGCCGCAGCTGCACCCACTCCGAGCCCAAACCGGTGTACGGAGCAAAGCGGAATTCAGAGAAGCAGGCTTGCTGCTCTGCAATCACTGAAAGGACCTCATTTAATCTTTTAGGGAATCTGGGCACCGTTAATCTCTCTGGCTGCTTCCTGCTGTATTGGGACGCTGCATTTTAGGGGTAAACACTACAACATTTCAGGAGGTCTCGGTGATTCAAACCACATAAATCCCAAGTACACCCTTAGGCTCTCCTTTTCTGTGGAGACAAAAACAGAACCTCTTTTCCAAAACATCATATCCTTAGCAGTTTCTAAATTTAAATATCTTTCTCCTGTCCAGTACACAACAGACAACACACATAACATAACATAAAGCTTTTGACCTTGTAAATCAGCCTTCTCCCCCATTTTTACTTTCTTAGAATCACTGGGGGGTCCTTTTTAACTTATTTTCTTTTCTGTCTCCCCCATTCTTTACCGGAGGGTCATTTTTAACTTATCTGGGTGCGCGCACAACCTCCCACTGCTGCTCAGTTTCTGATATGCTCTCTGGACTTTAGAGCGTACCTCTCTGAGCATGCATGCCTGCAGTTCTGAAATCCTCCTGGTCTCCGGCGGTGCAAAGTTCTTCTTCCCAGGTATCAGCACCAGATGTCCCATGCTACCGTCTCGCCAGCAAGAACCACGCGGGACACATAGGATACTTCTGCAGAAAAGCTTTAATGCCCCTTGGGAGAGTGAGCATCAGCCAACATGGCGGAGACCCAGAGATGAATGAACCCATCCCTTATATATGAAACAGTCCCTGCTTCGGACGTGTCACTCTTGGATTGGTCCGCTGCTCCCAGTCCTAGCTGATGCCTCGGGAGTAGGCGGGGACTCAGTGGGAAATTACCGAGCACATGTGCGTTCACCTGGCGGTGAAGCCGGATGTCAGCGCCATCTTGATGATGGAGAATGTGGCTGCGGCCTTCTACAGGAGGAGGGGAGGGAGTCGGAACTGGGATTGGTATGTAAAATAAAAAAAAAAGATAGTTTGTTTTCTATTTTAAAAAAAAGCAAAAACAAAAGAAATTAAAAAAAATGGCCAAGGAAAAACAGATATTATAGGCATAAGCAAGGACTTTCTGAAAAGGATGCCAATAACACAGGACTTAATCCCGAAAATTAACAACTGTGATTACACAAAATTAAAAAGCTTCTGCACACTGGGCAGTGGTGGTACACGCCTTTAATCCCAGCACTCGGGAGGCAAAGGCAGGCGGATCTCTGTGAGTTCGAGGCCAGCCTGGTCTACAGAGCGAGTCCAGGACAGGCTTCAAAGCTACAGAGAAACCCTGTCTCTAATAATAATAAACAAGGCTTCTGCAGAACAAAGGCAACTGCCACCGGAGCAAAGAGACAGTCACAGAACGGAAAGGGTTTGCCAGCCCTGCATTAGATGGTGAGTCCATACTGGAACATATAAAGAGCTGCAAGATTCAGGCAGGCAGAATTGCTCAGTGGGAAAAAGCATGTGCTGCCAAGCAGGGTGGTCTTGATCCCTGAGACCCACATGATAGAAGAGGAGAACCAACACCCAATAGCTGTCCCTTGGCCTGCACAAAGGCTCCACACCACGTGTGCTCCCACACAGGCATATATACACTAAATGAATTCATTTTGTTTAATTTTTTGAAGAATTGAAAAATTAAGCACCGAAAAATTATGTAATCAGTAAATAGACAAATGAACAGAATTTATAGTACTCAGAAAGAGTAATAGAAATGTTCAATACATATTTGAGAAAGAGTTCAGCATTCTTAACCATCAGGAAAATGTAAAGTAATACTGCTTTGAAACGCCATTTTACCCTAGTCAGATTGTCTGTCACCAAGGAAGCCACGGACACAAAAAAAGTTTAGGATGTTGGGGGAAGAGGAATTCTCAGCAGTGGTGGCGGGAACTGAATCTAGGGTAGCCACATTAGACATCCATATACAGGTTTCCCAGCTATACCATCCCCAGCACAAACCTGGAGGATTCTAGATCAACATAGCACAAAGATTACTTGTACATCCATGTTTATTGCTGTTTTATTTACATTAGCAAGGAAATCAAACTAGACTAAATGTGCACTAACTGATGAATGGATAAAGAAAACCAGTACACCTACATAATGGAATTTTATTCATCCATAAGGAAATATTAAATCATTTACAGAAAAATGTATAGAAGTTGAGATCATTATGTTAAACGAAGTAAGCCAGTCAGAAAGGAGACTACAGGGCTGGAGAGATGGCTCAGCGGTCAAGAGCACTGACTGCCCTTCCAGAGAACCCGGATTCAGTTCCCTGCACCCACAAGACAGTTCACGACTGCCTGTAACTCCAAAATCTGACACTTTCACACAGACCTATATGCAGGCAAAACACCAATACATATAATATAAAAATAAATAATTTTTTAAAAACCATTATTTTGTATGCTAACTTAAAATTTTAATATAAGGGGCTGGAGAGATAGCTCAGAGGTTAAGAGCACTGACTGCTCTTCCAGAGGTCCTGAGTTCAATTCCCAGCATCCACATGGTGGCTCACAGCCATCTGTAATGAGATCTGGTGCCCTCTTCTGGCTTGCAAGCATATATGGAAGGAATGTTGTATACATAATAAAACAAATAAATCTAATAAAAAAATTCAATTAAAAAAAGTACGTTTTAGCCTGCGCCGAACCACAGAGAGGAAGCGGCACGCCGGGCCCTTGAAGCGCTCAGGGCTCGGGAGCCGCCGGGTTTGGAAGGACTGGAGGGACAGGAGAGATCTGGGCCGAGAAGTGACCTTCCAGGCACGGGACAGAGAGCAAACGGGGAGAAGCAGCTCGCCTCGGTTCAGGTCAGGCCCACGCGAGGGGCAGCCCCGAGCGCCGTTCCAGAAGCCCCCGCGCCGTTGGGGTCCTGACGGGCGGTCGAGTCTTCCGCCGCACGTGTTTTCAGAGCGATGCCTAAATCTAAGCGAGACAAGAAAGTTTCCTTAACAAAAACTGCCAAGAAAGGCTTGGAACTGAAGCAGAACCTGATAGAGGAGCTTCGGAAATGTGTGGATACATACAAGTACATCTTCATCTTCTCTGTGGCCAACATGAGGAACAACAAGCTGAAGGACATCCGGAATGCCTGGAAGCACAGCGGGATGTTCTTTGGCAAAAATAAGGTGATGATGGTGGCTTTGGGGCGAAGCCTGTCTGACGAATACAAAGACAACCTACATCAGGTCAGCAAGAGGTTGAGAGGTGAAGTTGGGCTCCTCTTTACCCACCGCACAAAGGAGGAGGTGAACGGGTGGTTCACAAAGTATACAGAAATGGATTTTGCTAGAGCTGGGAACAAAGCGACTTTAACCGTGAGCCTGGATCCAGGGCTCCTGAAGCAGTTCCCTCATTCCATGGAGCCACAGCTGAGGCAGCTGGGCCTGCCCACTGCCCTCAAGAAAGGTGTAGTGACCCTGCTATCTGACTATGAAGTGTGCAAGGAGGGCGATGTGTTGACTCCAGAGCAGGCCCGGGTCTTGAAGCTTTTTGGGTATGAGATGGCTGAATTCAAGGTGACCATCAAATACATGTGGGATGCCGAGTCGGGGAGATTCCAGCAGATGGACGGTGATCTGCCTGAAAGCGTATCTGCATCTGAGGGAGAGTCAGAGGAAGAGGATGATAGCTGACTCTAGGGTGTGGGACGAAGGACTTCCAGCAAGTTCTTCATCTCCATTGGACACCAGGACTGCTGTCACCCCTCTGAAAGGAGCAGCTCTTTATCTTGACGTGGATGCGGAAAAGAGAGGAAGCTGGGGTGGGACTTTGTTTCTACAAAGAATAAAATCTTGTCCTCAGGTTTTCCCCTGTAGATAGCAAGAGACTTTTCCTAGTAAAAAGGCTTTCAGCTTTGTGCTTCTGTTTGGGCCTGCACAGCCTGGCCCCTCGACACCACAGCCCTGCAGATAGCTGCCAGGAACACCCAGGCTCAGGTGTGTTCTAGCCCTTTGTCTGAAGTACATTGGCTGAGGAGAGTTTTGAGCCCGGGCAACTTCATCACATGGGAGGGGAGGTAGAGACTGGTAGGTTAGGAATTCAAAGTCCACCTGGGCTACCAAAGACCTTGTCTTAGACACTAAAACAAATAGCTTGATAGATAAATTGGAGTTGAGGGCATTGGTCACTTGTTAACTTGTATTGCGTATCATAGATCCTTCAGATTTGGGGAGAAAAAGGAAAGGGCTGGAACTGGTACCTCCTACCTGTCGTTCACCTAAGTGTTTACCAAAGGTTAGTAACAATTCAGCAGTTTCTTCTGGTTTTTCTATTCAAGAATATGAAAATATATA